ATGAGGACTCTGGCGTGAGGGGAGAGGGGCGGGGGTGGAGGGTAAGGCGCGCAGCGGCTGGGACAGCGTGTGTGACTCACTGTTGCCGAAAGAAGAGATGATTCCGATCTTGCCAGCGACGCGCCCGCCCCCGGGCATGGTGGCAGCGGTGGCGGCGGCGGTGGAGGCGGCGACGCGGAAGTGGCCGCTAGCGTCGGGCAGAGGGCATGCGCCTGCCACAGACACATACATCAGCCTTATCTCTGTTGCCCTCGCCCAGCCCTCCGCTAGTTCCAGAGCGGAGGATAATGGGGAATTGGAAATCACAAGCTGTGAAATGGTTAACACGTTATAGCACACAGGCAATATATGGCATTAGATCAATACGTTTTCAAATTAATTTGAAGTATGGTGTTTGAAATGTACGATGTATGACATGGTATTATGCACACTATACTCTGTTGTATAAATACAATGAAGTTTAATTTCTGTGTTTGTGACATGTTTTTGGTGGCTTGATTTTCACAATGTCAGATGAACTGAATATTCTGCCATTACATCTACAAAATGTTTTGATCATATATACAAAAACAGATATATGAAATCCATTTCTCATTTTGGTGTTAGCTTAGTATGGCATTTCCGACGCTAAAAACAGTTTAAGAAGTATTTTCATATCTTTAAATTGAGTTTTTGAATTAGGTTAGGAAACACCAAAATATAGCAATTCTTCCTGCAGATGGAAGACATCTTACATGTCTTTAACGGTACCCTTGAAGGGCTCCAACCGTTCAAAATGAAGGAAAGAGACGCAAGCTCCCGGTTACTTTATAAGAATGACTCTGATTTCCCGACGTCGACGTTGCCTATCACTATCACCAGCATCTAATAATCTGGCCCGCCCGTTCCGCTCTGACTCCGCCTCCCCCGGCAACAACGTTGCCTTCATGCATTTAGGATTCCAACTTCCCCATCGTAACACAAATGTCGGAGTTTAATCACATTTGGAGCAACACGGAGATCGCAAACCTTCCGGTAGTTCATGTATTATCTCATCTTACAAAATTTGGGAGCAATCGTTGCGTGCTATCATACACTTTGCACCCACTGTATGATCATTTAAGAGAAGGAGTAGTTGCCTCCCGGGGGAGGGAGCTCGCTCAGCCCGTCCCTTGCGGTTTCTGTGGGTTGGACGCGCTCCCGAGGGAATGTTCTGCTTCCCTTCGTCGCTTTTTCTTTCACTGCTGTTTATCAACAGTCCCTTTATTCTCGTCGTAGTTAACAAGGGACTGATACAGATTTCCTGTTGCACATACAGAATGCAGAGACCTTCCAACTTCAAAGTTGATGGCTGCCGCTATGCAATTTACTTCGCAAAAATATATCATTGTTTCGTGAACTACCAAAGGGCAATAAAGGGCTGACCCTTGACAGAGTCATGGACTCGGACTGGCAACACCTACAGCGCGGCGGGGCGGGGCGGGGCGGCTAGTGTTGAGACCTCTCGCGAGAGGGTGACGGTAAAACACAAAGGCAAAGCAAAATACTCATATTTACAACAGGACTGGATTAACTGGAATTAATACCGCCAAAAAGAAAAGGAAGAAATTATACCTATGACCAATTTGTAACAGTTTATAGTTGTAGAAAAAAGTACTGTACAAAATCTATGCAATGTATATTAATAAATGAGTAACAGAGGGAGCACGTGTCTTAATCTCCAATATAATGTATTAATATCCATCATACATCATGGCTTCGTAATCCTTATAAATTATTTTATATATTCTCATACATTGACGGAAAACTGGCCACTGGAAAGTTAGAGGTGTCAATGTTATGGGAAGATATCCAGAAAGACTGGAAAAACACCCCCCCCCAAAAAAAAACAATGAAGGTTTTCGTTTTTACTGAAAATGCAAATATTTGTTAATACACAATTGGTCATACCTGATGATATGAGTCTGTTTTCATAATCTGAGCATTACCGTTTACGACATAAGCGACGTCTTGTAACGAGGAGAAAAGAAGCTCCTGTGACGTTTTAGAACAGCTGATTTTTGCTACTCCAGGACCCCATTTTCGTCATTGGCACCTTTGCAGCTAAGGACCACTAGTATTGTACAATTTGACGTAATATTGGTGGCAATACGTTTTCATTAAATTTTTTTGGTAGCTAGATAACACAACGAAATTCTTCATTTTTTGTTCCACTGAATAAGGAAACCTGTCGAAAGAAATACAATTGTAATGAAATTGCGGAAGGGGTTTGTTCTTGTATGTCTTTCATTAACAATTCAAAAGGCACGTGCGCAATCTATGAGCAGGGTATTGTATTCTCAAATGCAAAAATTTGAACACTCTAACAACTGAAACGACTCTACTTCTAGTTAGAGCCGCGGTTGTGTATCCTTGTTGTTTGTAATCCAGAAGAAAACAGTTTTGTGCTACAATGAAGCAAGTAACACACAATATTATATGTATAACAGGTTATGCTTTGATCAATATCATCATACACCTTTCTCTCAATACTATAATTAACATGATTATTCAACACTCTTTAGAATGCTCTCTTCTCTTGTGATTATCAGCAATTTCTGGTAAGTATAAAGATATTGCAGTTAAACACGCACATTTCTTCAGAAAACTACTTTGCAAGACAAACAACAAGTAGGGTCGAACTTTTTATTCAATTTGAAGATACAGTAACGACTTGAACGAAGTGCATGCATGGGTATCTGCAAATAACACTTCCCTTTAATAGATACTATCGAGAGAACGGCAAGACACAACTTCTGTATCTCCTTCACTGGAAGAGAGAGATACAAATTCAGAGCATTACCGGGCGACGTTTTTATGGGGCAAACTTATTTGAAGAGCGGTGTTATCGGGAGCCGGGCGAGGAAAATAGCAGATAAAGCAGTGCGAATGGGCACGTCCGGCTCTTCAGGCACTTCATTCAAAGGAGCTCTGGGCCTCCTCCGCTCGCACGCCACGCCCCCTTCCTCTCGGGTGAGCGTGGCGACGGCGGAGGTGACGGTGCGCTTGGGGCGCTTGGGGCGGGGGGCGGGGGCGATGGTGGCGCCGGCGGCGGTGGGAAAGAAAAGGAACCGCGGTGCTGACGGGTACGGTGTACACGGTCACGGAGAAGATAGCCGAAGGAGCTGGCACTGGCGGCAGCGGCAGTGATGGCGGTGACGGTGACGGTGACGGTGACGGTGACGGTGACGGTGCTGATGGTGGCGGTGATGGTGACAATGACGATAACGGAGGCTGTGCCAAAGGTTGTGGTGGAGGCAGAGATGGCGACGGAGGTCGTATGAGGGTGGAAATGTGCAAACTCTATCATAGTTAACAATAATATTGAATTGAATTGAATTTGCCTTATTTTACGTGGCGTGGTACTAATATGGTATGTTACGTTGTGAACAAGAATCCCTAGATTACAGATATACCCTACCCTTCTTACCTCTTAAAACGGCGAAAAATGTGGGTTCACAGTATATTTAACGAATGATTCAATGTACGAGAATGAGTATTATGAGAAAATTACATTCCTACGAAATACTTTAAGCGGATCAGAAGTATAGTTTTCTTGAAAATATGGGGTTGGTGTGAGCAAAACCGACGGTGGAGAGAGACAAAGGCGGCGCAATAACAATAATAACAATTAGCTTGAACTCATGCGATTTCAACGCACAAAAGAAAAAAAAATTGTAGAAAACTTCGAAAAAATGTCGTATTCACTATATGGAAAATCAAAAACTCTAAAAATATGATGTCGTTCAATACTTATCTTTGAAGACTAATAAAATGGGGAAGGTTTACAAATACAATAGACTCTCTATTCACTGTCATTACAGATTAAAAAAATATTTCTCAAAATGTAATGAATTTTTTAAAATATTTTCTGTACTTGTATATTATAGTGAACTAAGGGAGAAAATCCTATTGTTCACTTTGATTTAGAAATGTAATGTCATCATATATATTTTACTCATAATTATAATCGTTGAACATTTTTTGTGTCGAGAGACATAAGCCAGTCGATTACTGAACATTTTGTTTATATTCCCTCACTTCTTCGCAATTAAAAACACTCATAGAACTTAAAAATCTTGATTTTTTGTCGCTTCGATAACTATAACCTCTCAGTAACATACTTGCCCGACTGTTTTTTAAAGATCGAAAACAACTCGCCCAAGGGATGATGCGTAGATGACACCAGATAATTATTTCTATTAATTTTAATATATTATTAAAATTGAGTATTTATGTGCATTATAAGGAAGGGACGACACATCTAGGACTCACTGCCATTCAGTTAAAGGAAAAAAGTCAAGAAATTTGGTTGAGTACAAAGCTCAAATGTCTTTCTAAAAGAACCTGCTTCATTTTAAAATATAAATAAAACATAATAATAATAATAATAGAATGAAAATTCTCTGAAATACCTCCATTATCACCAATAAAACCACTCCAGCCAACAGACCAGATGTCACATTAGCACAAAAGAAAAGACAATCTTTCTTATTGACATTTCAATACCCAATAAGCATTATATATAAAAAATTCAAGAAAGGTTAAAAAAATTAATGGATCTAACCATAGAAACTAAACGTCTCTGGAAACAAGAAGTCATTAGCGTCCTATCACTCGTCATATCCGCCACAGGAGTTATCTCCAAACAACTTAAATCAACACTACTACAACTAAAAATACCATAAAGAGTACATCACGAACTATCAGTTCTCCTAGACAGTTGCCTTATTGTGAGAAAGTTTT